CATCCATCCTTTATCTACTGCTTAGCCTGGAAAAGATGCAGAGTAAGGTCTAAAAAACCCCACCTGGTCAGTGTATAAGGAAATAAAACACATGCTTGGTTGTCAAACTGTAGAAACTATCTTCACCGTCCTTGTGGATAAAGGCTTGCTCTGCCCTTGGATACATGTGCGCATGTGAGGAATTATCAGAGGACGTCCTCCTGCTATAAAAACGACTTAATTCAAGACGGGTTTAAATCTCTGAGGTGGCTGTTGATACCAACACAACAGTTCCATTAAAGCAAAATTAAGTGCCACAAAGACGATGGCTCAGCAGAAATATACAGCCCAGCCTGTCACATTAACATAAAGCATGCCCTTCAGAAATTATTATGCTTCCTAATCTCAAGAACACTCAAATGCAGCACTGCACAAATGACCTGTCCAGTGTAATGCATGGGTCTGCCCCCCCACCACCACCACCTTCTGAAGAACTCCAGCTCCTGTCCTCTCTTCGTCTCTTTATATCTTGCTCGCTGGCTTCCTTAACTCTTGTCAGAACAGTGAGGTGAAAATGTTTCTAAAACAAGAGTTGCGGCAGGTGAGAGTGTTAGGACCATTCCAAGGACCCGTGACTGATAGGGGCCCAAAAAAATGCCTGACTGTGACTGACTGCTGCTACTTTACTTAAAGACCACAATCTAACACTGTCAGTTCAAGGGGATTAAAATCAGCAAATGTCAGTATGGCAAAGTCACACTTAGTGAAAAAATAGACAATTGTTATCAGCCACTAAATTGCAATCTGTGCATCTCACATCATAACTGAAAGAAAATCAAATGATCACCACAGCACACATAAAACATTGCACGCCAAAAGGACGGGGACGGACAGCTGACAGGGTCTACATGAAGGTCATGGAGAAATCTAAGAACTGTATCTGTCTAAATTCTCGCCCTACCATTTCTGTTTAGAACAGAAGCTACACATTCAAAATTATTTTAAAGACTTTTATAATATATATATAACAGTGGCTTTTAACCCAGGTCTGCTATTTTCCTTGCAAACCTCCAAGAAGACTTGATCTGTTTTCTTAAGACTCGATTGGGCACATTCACAATCCAGATCTGTGATGCGGGTGAGAGGCTGAGCTCTATTGGAACAATCGGAATGATCTAGGATGGAGCAAAACAAATATAAAGAGCAGTGAAAGGGAAAATAGACCTTCTGTCATCCGGCTGATCGCTGTGACTTCCTGCCAGACTGTTCACTTGTGACCAGCCCCATCCAATCATACCTAGCCAAAACAACTGCAAGTCCTTCTGTGTGTCTGTCCTGGTGACAGAGGACTGTTCAATAATCTCTTTTGATACTGATAAACAGTATTTGCTAAAGCTAGGAATACTTTAACATTAGTCATCAGTCCCAGAAACTTAGTCATGCAACTGTGAAGAGAATTTGAAAATTCATATGAAACTCTTTATTTGGGCAATTCTAGGTTTAACTCAATTTCAAATATATTGAATTTACTTTTTTTGGCCTGGTAAAGTTTGTTTCAGTCTACACTTGACACTGAACTTGACTTTGTCTTTGGGAAATTACATAAATTATTTGTGCAAGATTTTTTTTAATTCTTTGATTTTTTTAACCCCAAATTATTCTAATAAAATTTAATAAATCGGCTTCTGAAATCACAATATGAAGTTCATACATATCGAGATTGTTTTATTACAATTACAAATTTTGAATACGGCAAGGAATAAAAAATGGTAATTTGAGAAGTGAGACTGTCAGAAAGTCTTCAAAGGTGGTTAGAGTTCAAACATTTTTTGGACAAATCTGGAAAAGTGTGGAATATGTTAAACCACCATAGATTATGGAAAATAATGGAATTCTGTGGTTGAAATTGATTGAGCCGTACATCACCATCGGCCATCCATCTTTCCCCTGAATTATCATGATTGATCCTCCCATTCTCTTTCCGTTCACAAAGACCAACATAAAATAATGAACAGCTTCAGTGGAGTTCCACATGAACGGGCCACACAACACTGGCACTGACTCCACCTGATTGTATTTCCTTAGCTGTGCTCGGCAGCTCCATATTTCAGCTGCTGCTGCTCCGACCAGGGGGAGCATTTACTGGCTTATTGCACTAGTTTATCTTTTGTCAGTCTTCTCATCAAAAACTGTGTGACTGATTAATGATGGATGAATTCTCTACTGTGGTGAGGTGTTCACCTCCGACTGCGTCACCCCTACATTCTGACTACACCTGAAATCAATGGCTACTGAGCAGCAACTGTAGTGTATTTCTAAAACTGTTCAGTTTGTTCCTTTGTAATGTTTAAAAAATATAGGGAGGAAGATCGAAGTGTTGAGAACCAAAAAATATTATAAATTAGCTGAGGTACTCTAGACTAATCTAGAGAAGGCTTGATCTGATACTCAGGATTCATATCTGTCCGGTATTGGAACAAAAAAAAAAACAAACATCTGATCCAATACCTAAGCAACATGCTTGCGAACAGCAGATTCTCCAAGTTGCAGTATCGGTGTCGACCATGAAAAGGTTGTAGCCATCTTGACTTAAAACCATGTTTACTAGAAGATGGAAAGGCTGGGTGGACAATCTTTAATATCAATTCTAAGCTACCAACATGATCAGGAGACAATGATTACAATGATGTCATAATGAACATTTATCGCTCATGATCATCTACCACAAAAGATAAAAATATTTCAACTTGCCTTTTTCGTAGTAGGTAAATAAATACACTGCAAAATGAACTGAACCTATTCCTATTTTGTCTCTAACAACTGACTAAACAGCGAAACATATGCAACTTTGGTGCATGAACGATAACTAAAGAACTGAACTGGAAACACTGAGGGAATGACTAGTTTTGAGGGACATCACTGACCCAGCCATGGTCCTGCTGATTCATTCAGAGTCACAGTCCGTCAGATGGTTTGCTGAAGGGCCTAATTTTCAAGTGTGCTGGAAAACGGACACAGTCACTGCCAAGGTTGAAGTCGTTGCACCAGAAGGGCGGTATTTACGACACACTGTGGACTTGTGGGAAATATTGTTCACAGTTTAAGGGGTGACCAGGGAGCTGAGAAACAGAGAGAACTCAGAGAGCTCTCATACTGTATATAGATGTATAAACAGATCAATATTACCTCTGCTGTCTGCAAGAAGTTTTGGATATGTGCGTTGTGGCTAACGCTAACCCACGTGCCATCTGGGCCACAGCGATGATGAAGCCCAGTGTCAACAGACAGACAGCTGCCTGTTTCAATAGAGGGTTTAAGAGTGTCTGACTGTATCTCTCTCTCCCTCTCTCTTTCTGTGTGTAGGCATACAGATGGCGAGAGGGACTTTGTCTGTGAGTCTGTGAGTCCCTCAAGCTACTCAGTGGTAGCTTGATGAGTCTTTGCACGGCAAAACTAGTTTTATTACAAATTCAGTTCTCGCATGCAAGACTTTCCGGAAAATGTAAGAAACTCAATTTTGTTCAAATGTGTATGTGTGTGTGTGTGTGGGGGGGATTTATCCATACATCTACTGCCTTCCACAAGAATTATGAAATAAATGAACCTTCATGCAAATGTAATTAGCAGTGGTGAACCGTCAAGGACAGCAAGTCCTTTACTGCCGACCTAAACATCAGTATCAGAACTAGTGACTTATGTTTCAGTATATTGATCATGAATATTTATAAACTAATCGTACGCAGTAATCAGTAGTGCAGATGACTGGAGCCTAAAATTAATGGCAATGGGATTGTTTCTCAACCAATCAGATTTTGAGTTGGCGACACTGATGCCTTCTGGTTGGCGTACAGATACTTTGGCGATTTCAGGGTGATTTGATTGGGACGGTCAAACAACGTCTCCAATCCAGGACAGTGGCTCTGTAGTGATCCTCTGTGTTACACTGACGTCTCCTACTTTGTTTTATTCTCTCTTTTACTTCTGTACAATCAAAAGAAGTCACTGTCTAAAAATCAATAAACTTTGGTCATAAAAAGCTGCTCCGTGGGTACACAGGGTTGACTGTTCCAGAGGTCAGGTCGGTAGCAGGAAGTACTGCTCGACACAATATATTGTTTATATGTAATCGACTATAAAAGTGAAGTTTTATTTTCAGACTCATAACAATAGATTAAGCTGTATTCACACTGCAGTAGTTTTCCTCTAGGACTTTAACACCTGAAGCCACTGGTGAGTGGTCAGAGTTGTACATGTGAGTGAGCTGTACAGTGAACTTCAAGCCTGGGAATAAAATGTTATTAGATTATTGACTCAATAATCCAAAACAACAACCAAGACTAGTGAGAGAACTGCTGATTTTCTTGATGATAGGGCTCAAAGTTTTAACTTCATTATTCATCTGATACACGGGAAAATATTCCAAACTGTATTTGCTGTAGGAAACATTTCACTTGAAACATGGAAAACCACCACACTGTCTGTAAACAGAAAACTTTAAAGTATTATTGCTGTGTGTGCACAAAAAGTTATTTCATCAACTACAAAAATTCAGTATTGTCATTTTTTTAAATGAATCATTAAGAATAAATTAAAGAAAAAAGCAGAATAGAGTTCCATTTTTTAATGTAGTTAGATTCACTGTACCTAAAACGTGTCAGTAACCTAATTTAAAATGTTACATTCAGGTCTTTGTTTTAATTAAATTGACCTAAACCATACAGGTGTCATTAGAACGACAACTGACTATAGTGGTATACTACAAAGACTGATTAACATGTCAAGTAAAGAAAAGCACTATCCACTTCTGCCCCCGTGTGCCCTGAACTGATCATAGAACTGAAGCAAAGTCAGTAGTGCAATCATAAATAATGACTGTCCTGCCAGAAGAGTCCTTTCCTTCTCTGAGTGATGCCAGTCCATAAAGCGATCAGTGTGTTTGAACCATTTCAGATCACGTTCATGACCTTCCTCAGTTCACTGAGGGCAGGCTGTGCTGTTAGTGAGCAGGGAGCTGTACTCACGGTCATTACACTGGGTGCCAGTGTAGGAGGTCATGGAGCAGTCACAGTTGTAGTTCTCCCACAGCTGGATACAAATGCCCATATTGGCACAGGAATCTTCCTGACAGGTGGTGCTGGGACCTGTGAAAACACACAGCCACAGCAGACACACACACACACACACATCTGAGTGCAATATTCCTGTTAAAAAAAGAAAAAAGTACTGCGGTGTACCCTCACAGCTCTAGATTACTAGAAAAACGACTTTAGAAAAGGATTTGAAGAAATAATTGATTATTTCTGCTTCAGTCCAATTAGCTGTAACATTGTTGACTTTGATATCAGGTTATTCCTGCGTTTGTGGTGTTGGTTTTGGCCTGTACTGTACTGCACTTCACCACAGAACACCGTTAAATTATTAATTACTGATTCCAAAACAAAGTCAAACAAATGTCTTGAGTTGATACTCACCTGGAGTAATAACATAAGCTTTAATGTGCATGGAACTGATCCTGTTGTTTTACAGTAAGTTGGAAAGAAAAGTTAAGTGACAAAAGTGACAAAAATAAACAGTAACGAACTTACATTGTGCCGCTACAGCTCATTAAGTCTACACTACGCAGGGTTCAAGTTGAGCCGCATCCTGCCGGAACAGGATGTTCCGACGAGAGAGAAAAAAGTCGCCGGAAACACTCGTTCTCTGCGTTCCGAGACCTCACACTTTACATTTCAGCACTGGATTAATGCCTATTTAATTTCGTTACGTAAATGCTCTGAAATATTATTATTTTTTAACTCTAATTATGATGTCTTTGTTTGTGTTTTGTATGTGTCAGCAACAGGTGTAACAATTAAATACTCCACCGCTTGGGGACAGCAGCTGACTAATTAGTTTATCTATCTGTCTGTATCATTTTTAAGTGATGCTTCGGCTGTGATAGCACACTAAATGTCTGAAAAGGGAAAAGTGCGGAGTCCGAACTGGGTCTGGGACGAAACCTTGACCGGATGAGGAAAGCAGAAACGGTGAGTTAAGCTAGCTTCCTAGCAAACTTAATAGCTACCTCCAAACAAAAAAACAAACCAAGCAGACTCAGAGCTGTTAAAAAATCTAATCGCTGTTCTATCAGCGATGGTGAGCGTTGTGCTAAAAAAAGGTCCGGGTTCCCATTGTAACATTTGGCCCGTGGTTGAGTAAAAGGCTAAGAAACGCTGCTGTAGTTACAGTTTGCCAGCAGTGCAGTATTACCACCTAGTGGTGGTATGGCGTATTGCTACAAACTCAGCTGTCAGCTTAAATCCGGTCTTTATTAGAAACAACTTAAACTGAAATGTGTGATAGAATGAAGACATTAAGGCAAAAAGAAAAAAAAACAGCTGGGTATGAGACATATGCAAATAAAAGTAGAATTGAATCCAAAAACATTCTATTTGCACAATAAGAAACTGTCACAACATGGAAGACAAACATGACATTACTGTGTTGGTTGGGGTGGAATGTCTGCACATCAAGGTCCATTTTGATCAACCATAACAAAAAAAAAAAACAGTGAAGTCAATGTTCAACTGAATATTACAGCAGATGTGAGAAAGAAAAAAAAACAGCTACACAGAAAATTAATTTCTGCACAACACAGGTTGTGAAAACAAAAAGAAATGACACCAAAATCAATAAAAAAGACACAAAAATACACAGGATGAAAACAAAATGGTGGCATTTGTTTGCTTGCGTACAGTACTTCACAGGCCCATGATTACTATATGTAAAAAACAAAACAAGATTGGGAAATTTGGCAAGTGTTTTTTGTGAACCAAGTCACACCTGGTGACAGATTTACCATTGTTGTATGTCCTACTGATCGGGTATGAAAGAACACATATCAATAGATGCTGAGTCACAGTGGCCTCTGAACAGAAGTGAGTATTTTCTACCTCAGGCTGTAGGAGTTTCTTCTTGTTGTGGCTGTTAATATTGTGAATATCTTTAGCTGCGACAACAACCAAACTCAGTCCAAACTTATCATTAATAGCCTTCACCTTGTCCTGGGGGTAAAGACTACCTGAGATGATTCTGATCTATCCTCATTTACAATCGATATTTGAATGAAAACAAGTTGTATATAACGTGTGAAAAGAATTTTTAAAATACAGTTATTATATATAATAACCATATACAGTATGGAACTGTAAACATTTGAACAAACTTTTGTTTCTCACACATATTTCCCTACAGCCGTCTAGTGCTCCGTTATTTAAGGAAGTCGCTGGAATGATTTTTCTAAAATCTACCATTGATCGTTGTAACCAATTAATAATTAAGTAATAATTATAATAATTAACTTTTATGCATACGTTGGGCCTGAAGACCTAATATCAGAGACAATTAATGAGATCAGAATGGAACGTTTTGTCAAACACACCACTATATATGGCGAGTGGGTCTATATTTAAAATATATATTTATATCTTTTGAGTAAACATAAATCTTAGATTAAATGCATGTCTGGGTAGTTAACGAAACACAAAGATGAACGTATGATTTAATCTCAACATTTACAAAAATTAAAAAGAAAAAAATCAAATTAAAAACACAAAGCAGATCAAAATGTTTCCTGGCAGCATTCAGCGTTAATACACCAATCAGAGCTGCTCTGGTGCAGTAGTAGTTGTGACGGCGCTGACAGCAGGCGACCAATGTGGCCAATAAGGTGTCGGTGCTGTGGGTGAGGAGGCACTGATGTGGCCTCCGTCTAAGAGTGGGTAAATGAAGCAACAAGCACAGTTAATAAGAAGGAGGGGGCTCTGTATGGGTGCCATGCTGTGGAGCTGCTGTTTGCATTGAGCAGGAAGAAAGGGCTGCTGGAGCTGCCGTTTGTGTTGTAGTAGTCGGGCAGGGATCTCAGAGACGGTGTACCTTCACATCCACGCTCGATCTGTCCGCTGCGGAACAGGGCGTCGTTGAGGAGATCGGGCAGGCGACCGTTGAGGTCGACTGAGGCCAGACAGCCCTGAAAGCCCTCTCTGGAGGCCACTAGTTTTGGCAGGCTTCCATACATGCCTGGGCCCAGTCCTGCGATAAACAAATCACCTGGAACATAGAAAGCAGACAGTATTGAAAAATCTTTGATACAATCCATTATGTATTCTCCCATTCTCTCTTTTTCTGAATGCAAAAAGCAAAAGAAGATGAAACTAAACTAAACTGGTTAAATAAAACCAATAAAAACATCAAACTCTACTTTATCGAGGTTAAGCTAGGATACCTTTTAGGTCCAGGTTTTTGGCTCCGTTGATGCTCTGGCTTGTGGCTATAGCATCTACTTTGAGTGTGTGGGTGTTGCTGTTGTCGCGGGTGATGGCCACATTGTGCCACTGGTTGTCATTCAGAGCCCTTTCACTTTTGCCCTTGATGAGATTGGGCCCGTTCCCGAGGTCAAACACATAGTGAATGTATCTGCAACAACAAGGGTTTTAATAGGATATCAATAACTGTGAAACTCTGCAGCTATTGGCTCAGGGGGTCTGCATTAATGTCATGTCTGTGCTTTGACTGCAGTTAACTTTGGTGTTTTCATTCTTCTGATCAATACACGTTTCTCTATAATATATAAAGAGAGTAAACAAGCTCAGTTGAACTAACTTACCCTTTAACCAACTCTACAGCAATGAAGTCGTTGCCATCTCCAGAATTAAAAATGATAAAGCCATCTGGAGACGTGGTCCTGAACTGGAAAAACAGGTGCATGGAGGTGTAGGCCTGCAGGGTGGCCAGACTCAGGTAGCTGCTCTTGGATTTAAAGGTGACGGGGTCGGCAATAATGGAACGAACCCCAAAGCGTGCATTTAGCTCACAATAGTCAATGTCACCGTTCTTGCACAGGTCGATGTAGAGCATGCCGTTAAATCTGAGGGTGAAACAAGGACAGATATTAACGTATTATTTCTATTCAAAACTTATACATCAGTTATGTCAGTTAGAAGGTCACATTGAGGGTTGGTTTTTTGTTTGTTTTATATTTGTATACCTTAGGCTCTGCAGGTGACCAATGAAGCTGGAGGGAATGGTAGAAAGGAACCTGCGCTCTGTCATGATGCCTGTCTCGATGTTGTGGAACTCCAGACGAGTGTGGTCACCCACCATTTGGCCTGAAGACGGGGAGGGTGAAGGGGATGGGTTGAAAAGAAAGACAAAAACGAAAAGAAAACAGAACACTGTCTGACACTAACACAAAAGGGCTGATTTAAGGAGAAGATTACATTCAAAGCATTAGATAAGTGCAAGTAGCCGCTAACGGCTGCAGAGCTACATGTTTTGCTCTCTAACATACCTAGAATTGTGTAACACCACTCACAGGCCTACAGAAACTGAGAACATTTGTTTAATCATGAGCCTAGTTGGTGTCAGTAAGTACCTTCTGCTACATCATCGTCAACCGTTAGCTTGTAGGTTTTGCCGCGGCGCACCACACGCACCGTATGCCATTCATTATCATTGAGCTTTTGCCCAGCATACAGCGTCTCCGGTCCCTTGCCTGAGGACAATGGTCAATCACAGAGTTAAAGACATCCTAAGGTGGAAACCAAACCTTTGTTTACCCAGAAGTTGGCCTGAAAAATCTGGCAGAAAGTCTGCGTGTGATGTCCAAATCATCCCCACACTCTCAGGAAACAAAGATTTGGTTTGGTCAATAGCATACATAATTTATGAATACAAAACTGACTTCTTCTAGTGTATGTTAAAATAGTAATAGAAATGTATAGAGAAATCCTATAAACCCAGAAACTGACGTTAATCTTTATTATTTTCTCTCTCTCTATTCTACGTGAGGAGAAGAAGAAGAAAAAGAACTGTGTTTCTTATTTGGTGCCGTGTGTTGTTCTAAAGCTGTTCCTATCCATGTCTACACTGCTTTAACAGGTCTTCCTCATACGTTCTTAACTCTTGGGTTATGTCGACACCTTCTGGTTGAGACTGTGCACTGCTCTACATCAACCGCATTCAGCTATTTTATGCTATGAACCAAATTAGCCCTTAGCTTCAGGGCGCTTATATTAAAAACGTTTCCGGTTTTAATACCAAAATAATAACCGTTAACACTTTCATAATTACACTGACTAGTCTTTTTTATTCCAACATGTTTAACAGAAAGATCAATTCATAGTCGAAATGACAGCTAATCTCAGCAGTAGATTCATTTTCTATCTGAACTGTACTTTATTATTTTTTATTAAATAGAAGTTTGTCCTTAATTTAGAATGGATTTTTTAAACAGGGAATTGCTTTTTATTTACCTCCAATAATAAAGCAACTGTGAACTTGCAATACTTTCACAGCTTTTCTGAAGTAGTTACAAACATCATTACCAGACAAAGCTGATTGTTGTGTGTATCTGGTAACTGCAAGAGCCTGAAGTAAATGTAAGTATTTAACGACATTGGTTGAAACCACTGTATCCTGAGATCCTGAGGCTAATCAAAATAATTCCCAGTGGTCAACCTGTCTTAATTTCCAAAGTCTTCATCAGCCTTCAATTTAAAATATGAACTTTAAATTACTTTTCTTTTATCAAATAGTATTCAGACTTTTGCCTGATAAGAATATATTTAAATACATTCCTAATATATAGAGCTTTTCAAAGGACTACCATCTTTTATAGAAATACGGTTTTACCAATCTTCATCATCTCTAAAGGGCTGATTGAATTATGTGACCAATTTGAAAATCCATGTCAAACTTCATTACATTCACCCACATCTCTAAATTATTCTGCACACGATAGACTATAAGATGGAGGCACAGTGGGAGGAGACACCTGGTTCTCACTTTTTAGAACTAGGAAATCACAATGAAACCAAGAGAAAGACATTTTCATAGAACAAATCATCATCAACATAGAAAGCAAAATGAAACTTGAGTGTTAACTTACTGGTGTTACAGTTTATCCTGATACAGTCTAGATGGGGAAGAATAAATGACAGATGAAATTGCATCCTTCAAGGTTACTGCTGCAGACATCCAAAAACAAGAAGTCCACCCTTCCGGGGACGCACACATGCAAGACAGTAGCCATTTTGTTCTTTTAATATTGAATTTACGATCAATGTCAATCAGTCGACTTAAATTTAACATTCTTTTCTCTATTTTTAAAAATATGTATGATTTGTTAGTACAACGCCATTCAATGCAATACATGAGTGCTCTTATCTTGATAAAATACTTCATGACTTATTGCTTTAACCCAACTCTACAGTAAAATGGCCACTTTATTTTTACCAGCTACATGAGTTTTCCAACCCAGACTTGGGATTTTAGGAGCATTCCAATTGGAATGGGAAGTCAAAGTCTCAGGCTCCAAAATCTCTTCACCAACCAGTTGGTTCTGTAACTACAATCTATTTTAGAGCCATTGATCTTTGAAACGTTAAAGGCTTTACAGTTTGAATTTTCTGCATTCGTACTCCAATTATGAGGGTAAAAAAAAACAACCTGTGTCACCAAATCAATCCAGAATATCGTACGTTTGTACGTAGCTACAAAGGCAGTGAGGGTTGGTCATCATCTGGCTGGTGGTTTCATGTGTCGTCAACCGCAACAGAAAAGTGGGAGCAAACAGCCACGATCCAATCAGCACCAGCACCATGCAGAGGCACAGGAACCCCAACCACTGATCTGGGATTTATCACCTAATTCATACACGGATCAGTCACAACTGATCAGAAACTAGATTTGAGTCTACAGTTTTACCAGGATGTTGAAGAAAATGCATTAACAAAGGGATTCATAGCCACACATTTTAATGTCATAGTAAGAATGGTCAATTTGAACTCCGTTGTCAGTCGCAGTGTGACGTAGGAAGACTGTTACTAAGAAATCAGATCAGAATTAGAATCGTTCTGTGAACCAGAGACTGTGGTCTGCAACGTTCTTCTTCTTGGTGATTTTTTAAAAAATCTGCCTAAAACGTGTGAGACAGGAAGTGACTAAATGTATCTGCTGCCTGCTTCATCTGTTAGACTGGAAAACTCTGGGAGCATTTGGGGTCACAGCCAACTGTAGGTTTTGCTGGGCTCTGTTCTCGGGCTGTTCGCCTGACGGGCCGCAGGCTTAAGGCCTTTGAAGGGGTGAATACCATCTTTTGATAAAGCATGATGGGAAATGGAGGTGTGAGGAACAAAACAATGGAGGGAGGAGGAAAAAGAAACGTAGAACTTCATTAGAAACAACAGGATCGGCAAATAAAAGAGGCACCCAGAAGGTGACGGGGAAATTAGAGGATGTCAGAGAGAGGGATGGGGTTAGTAAGAAAGTTAGGAAAGGTTTTCTCTGAGAGTCCTGTAGACTGATGGACTGAAGACCAGAGGGCGTAGTTACCTCTTTAAAAGTCTCAGCACACTTTATTTCTCAAAACATCTTCATCAGAGATCACACCTCAAACCCAGTAGCTACAGAATGGTCTCCTCGTGCTGTGACTATCTCAAAAGCTTAGTAAAAGTAAAGTACGTGACTTCACGTACACAGTCATCTGTTTTAAATATTTTATAAAAATGGGCCAAATATGTTTACAACTAGAAACTAGAAAAGATTAATTTGACAATGGTGGAGCTTAAGCTATTGGCAAGTGTTTTTAAGGCAACCCATTATCATCTGTGAGCACAAAGCATCAACATCCATGCAAAAGATTTTTTTTAAAAAAAATGGCATCTCTCGATTTTGTCAAGCTGGTTTGAACCGGCTTGTGGTGATCATTAAGAAATGAAAAAGGACAAAAGGAGACAGAGTGAGAGGAGGAAAGGTCCACTGTTTAACAGTGAACCATCTGCGGGGTGAGGATGTAGGGGTGGAGGCAGATGGGAGGGGGGGCATACGATACCTAGGTTGACTGTGAGTTTCACTCTACTGCCGTCCAGCTCCATTCGGAGTGTGTCGGCCGAGTCTCGGGAGGTGGTGGCCATCAGAAGGCCGTAGGCTCGCTGAGAGCGGAACCGCAGCGAGACGTCCTCGGCCTCCGTGTGCATGATGTTGGGCATCACCACCTTCATGTACATGCTGCCGTCGTAGGACAGAATAGAAGCCTCTGTGGAACAAAGACCGGGGGTAAAATGAACAAACAAAGTACTCAAATACTACAGTGATGGAGTGAGCATAACAAACATCAATAATAGTGTTATTGTTTTCAAACTATTACACAGTTCAGCAGATGACTGCAAGCGACACACATCATCTCTGAGACAGTGAAAGCTGCAGGAGAACAGCAGCCGCCATAGGCAACAGGTTTTGGCATTTAAACCGCCATCTTGGCAACACACGTCTCACAGCTGTGAAGTCTGTTAGCTGGAATATACCGTCAGACACTAGTGGGATGTCTGATGGATGCACCTCATTCTCATCTGACCACTGCTTTAAATTTACATTTTTATATTGTGTCTATAGCAATATATATGAAAATAAATAGAGTACAATACAAAAAAAATAGACCGTTCAAAAAGAGACACCATATTTGAAATCTGCATCTAATGTACAGTATATATTTTTTAATCTGCTATATATATATGTATGTATATATCTTTTTTAATCTGCTATATATATGTCTGTATGTATATGTCGACTTCTATGTCTCTATATATAGACATTAAATCTCTTTTTAGTCCACTACATATATATGTATATATATACATACAGTATATATATATATATATATATATGGAACTGATAAATTATTTGGAAATTAATTTGGAACAGAGTTATAATATAGTGTGTACTGTATATGCATGTATGTGTGTGTGTGTGTGTGTGTGTGTGTGTGTGTACACGAGCTTGTGTTTTTATGGAGCTCAGTGTATTTTTAGTTTCTGTCTCATTTCTTCTTCTACCCATCCAGGCAGCTTTTCTCTAGAATAGCACAGTTACACCTCTGCAGTGATTAAGTGCCATGTCAAACTAACTTATTGTGATGAATTCACCAACAACGGCCTGAGATTAGGGCCGTCCTCTAAACGCCCTTTGTTCAGTTTTGCTGCAGGATGAGGAAAGTGAAATTCAACCAAGTGGCCACAGAGAGGAGCCACAGCCTGTCTGTCTGTCTGCTGCAGTCACCGCACGAGCTGTAAGGCTGTAATTAATAGAATAAAGAAAGGAGCTGAATAACAGCAGGGGAATGTAAAAAGTAATGACAACGAACCTCACATGGTAAGACCAATGATGATAAATGATGGTAACAACTGGTTCAATGGAGGCAGAATTTTGGGCATGTTCAAAACTGTGGTTTATAAAAATGACTAAATCCTAAATAGCCTAGATAAAAAATAAACTGTAAGAGGCTGTAATGTTTAAAAAAAAACAGTCCTCAGTTAGCATTTGTAGTACAGTATATGTGGTAACTTTATGAGTGTGAGTTATAGGGTAGGAGATGAGATTAGGAGGAAATGACACCCTTATTAGAAAGAAAGTGGCAGATTAGCTTCTAATCTCAATACCAACAGTTAGTGCTGGGATCACTGCACTGGTTACAAAACACTCTGTCATTTGCTGGTGTTCATATGCAGTGAATGTCTCATCTTTCTGACCAATGTAGCTACATGGTAACAGTTGAACTTACAGACACACAGTCGGACCAGCGTCCAGCAGCCTGTCAGTCTCAGAGAGTGACTTACTCTAAACCTCTGAATCAGTGCAATTCTCAGAATCTTCCAGATTTCCAGACAAGAACTGCAATTAGAGTCTATGTCAGTATTGTCATCACGGCCCTGCTTTATTGTTACTTTGACATTTATATACAGGTTTTTTGTTTTATGTTTTCCACTTTATAAATTTAATGTTCAGATTTCACTTGAACATTAGAGAATTCCTATAGAATTAAAACACAAACCAGAAAATCTACACTTTCCTACACTTATACTGCTTCCTGGTTGTATTTGTTGGTTGTTTTGGATTTTAAGTGACTAAATTTAACCAAATAAATTAGCCGTACTTCAACAAATCTTTGTGACAACTTTTGAAACAGGAATAGAAACGTTGTCTTTTTTCCATACACAGTAACAATAACGTTTGTTGCTTTGATCTCACCCTCATGTGAGCTCTTTATTTTACTATACTTTTATCACTTACTTTCTTCTTTGAAACATTTAGTTCAGGGATAGCAAACATATGGCCCGTGGGCCAGAATCGGCCTGCTAAGGTGTTCAATACAGCACGCTTGTTGCAGATTTCATTAAATCTGAATAAATAATAATAAATATCTAATATACTTGAAAACAAAGGGGGAAAACATGGACTCATTGGTATGTATAGTTAAATATGTTATGAATGTACTGGTCCGGCCCACTTGACATCTAATTGGGTTGAATCTGGCCCGTGAACCAAAATGAGTTTGACACCTCTGATTTAGTGCATAAGGTTAACAGTGAAAGGGTGATGCAGTTACCTCTCTCACACGTGCGTGACCAGTATCCAGTCCCGGTGCAGTCACAGATGAATCGATTCCAGCCTTCTTTGCAGACCCCTCGGTTCTTGCAGGGGTAGCTCTCGCACTGCTTTCCCGGCTGCTTGTTGCACGAGGGTTTGATGCCGGCGCCATTTTGTGCCTCGGCAATCTGACGGATGTCTTTGCTTCGACCGTCAATGAAAAGGTCACGGATGCAGCCCACGTAGCCGTAATTGAGCATCGCTGTCCAGAGTTCGGTGGGCAGGATGAGGTTGGTGCGGTCGGTGGGAAGCCCACCCAGGTACATGAATCCCTCCAGATCCAGAATCTCACTTTCACCACTGGCTGTGAACGGAGTTCTCCTGCTGTTGACAGAGATGGTGCCTGTGCATGTAGAACAGAGACGGTCAGTGTAACGACCGTGACAGAACAACACACACAGTGATGACTGTGATTGGATCCCACAGATCAGGTCCTTATGATAGGAAGCTGTTGATTCTTCAATGTTCCGATGAAACTGTCTTCACAGTGAGAACAGATGTGATGACAAATGTGATCAAAGCAGAGGCGCCAGGTGCGACAAAGTTCGTGAAAAGGTCTGCTCCTAAACGAAGCCCATTTGGTAATGAGGCCAACGGCTCGCCAAGCCACACAGAGGCCACTGCAGTTTCTAAAGGAAACATTGGCCGACCACAAAGTTCTGTTCTGTCCTTTTAAGATTATTTTGTTCTGTTGAAAAGCTTGGAAACGACACACACTGAACACACACTGAACACACACCACTGCACGGACAATCAATCATACAGAGCTGTCCTGGCACTGTGATGGTGAAAAGCATCAGTCACGTTATTGTCACATGTTGTTGATCTTAAAAATCTAAGCTTCTTTAGAAATATATTTATGATGAGTTTTTGTCATGTATTTGAGAACGTCAGGGTACTGTTACCATTTAAGGTAAATGTTACGTCAAACAGTTATGAGTTCTGGAGTTATGAAGTCCTCAACCTGTGGGGTTTTTATTACGTCCTGACCCTCACATAAGTTTGTTATGAAAGTCTTGTTCTAATCATTCCGGCGTACGTCGTTAACACACATTTCACATGGGAAGAGTTGACAAATACTGTACGTCAGCACTCGGAAGACAGCAGTGTTTACATTCACTGGTTGTAACTAACCATAGATTGGACTGTGCTACAGTCACTATCATTTGTTTGTGTCCTATTCTTGGAACCTTCATCATGACTCCCAGGTGTAGTCAGACTCTTCTGATGTTTTTATGTCCTAGATTTTGGTGTTAGCACTGTGTTAGCACAGGTGAGTGACAAAGGTACTGATATACAGTATATCAAATGAAAACTTGTAGCTTATGTAGCGAGGTACTGTAGGTCCAGCTGGTGTTGAACGTACTGGCCCCCAAAAGCCAATGATGGTGAAGTAAATGCATCGTTAGTACAGTAACTCATTACTGACCTGAGCGTCCATCTCTCTGGATGTCCACATGATACCAGGCACCATCGTTGACCTTCGTCTGTGTAGCCTTCACCTTAATAGTTCCTGAGCCCATGTCTAACAGCAGATACAGGCTGCCATCCAACAGTTCTACTGCAAAGAAATCCACCTGAACAAGCACAGAACAAGAGCAAACTTTACCTCATGATGTCTGAAAACCAATCCAAAAGTTTGATTGGTTGACCTGGATTTTACTCTGATGATTCACAGATCTCACCCTGGTCATGAAACATGTACATACATGGTGTTTTCTGTATGATAAAGAGTGAAGGACTGAGGGTTCACCTTGGTGTTCTTCTGGCTGCGGGCCGCGTCTTTGCGCTCCTGGGGTTTGCCGTGGGTGAACAGTATGAGGCCGTTGGGCTCTGTGGTGCGGAAGTCAAAGGAAATGGATCCCATCCGCTTGGTGTTCCACTTGGGAAGGCTGATGTAGGCCTCCGGAGTCTCAAAAGAAATAGGGTCCAACGTGGCCACGTTCTCACATTTGTACGACACATCGCCCTGGATTTTCATCTTCGGGTCCACGATTCGAGCAAGCCGCGACAATTCCAGTCGGATGTCGTTGTTTTTATACACCACCTGGATTTAACAATGAGAACACAGTGGCATTTACTGTATGTGTGTGGTTAGTTAAAACACCTCACCGCACGGAAAAGTCTGAAATACAATTACATATAATCCAGAGCAGGCAGACGTGTCGCCAACATCAGATTAATTGTCATTAATCTAAACAAATGAATAAAAAGCGGTGTGTAAGAGTGTGTCATTTTTCTTTGATGTGTAATATTAGACTAAGACCTAATAAAGTCTTGTTTCTCTGCCTGAGGCGTATTCCGTTTTCTGGTATTCCTGGTTTTATATGATTAACATTAATGTGACCGTGAAATTAGGTTCCACAAAATGTTAATCAAATGTTCTTTTTTTTCCACACACACTCTCAAGCTTATTGTAAGTTATGCAAATAAAAAAACCCTCTTCCTTTCTGAGGAACAGCTTAACTGCCAGTGTTTTGAGGAAGCCGTACATCTCAGGGGAAATACCAGGTTTTTTATTTTTTCATCAGGCACCATCAGAGGTCACCTCAGAGGTAGTTCCCATGCTAAAGGAGCTTTACAATACTTTAGAGTGTGAAGTTGACGAAGCAAACTTCACAATTTAATTAAAGTAAAATATAGAAACATAGCATCAAATAATGTTTTTATCCATTAAAAATTATTAGTTCTTACTAACATAAAATATTTGGTAGGGATTTGGCATGAGGTCTTACCTTAGCTTAGCTTAGCATAGCCTAGCATGGCCATGTTTAATAGAAACACGTGCATCTCTCTTTGCTCGTTGTTTTGGCTAAACACTAAAATACAAATAATAGCAGGTAGATAGATGTATATAATTCACTTGTGACTATTCAAATCATGGAATTACTAACATTTTCATGTATAAACGGATTGTATTTGAGGTTGATTTGTGGACCACAGCGTTAGCCTGAATGTACTCTTGGCATCAACATGGGTCTCAGCGGGCTGCTGTCTGTAGGCTCATCATTTACATCACACACCGCGGGGCTGGGTTTTAGCAGGGACAGCTTTTGCAGGAGCTAGTGTCATTTCAATGAAAAACACTAAGTGGCCCATTTTTTATCGCAGAAGCAGCAAACGCTGTCAATAACGAAGGGAGGACGGAGTCATGGAGGGCGTCGCTGGTGTAAATTGAAATCTGTTCAAGTGGAAAATTGAGGACCTTCTCATTCTCTAATTCTCCAGGCAGAAAAACACCCTGCGCTGTATTTTACAGCAGCATATGTACCAAAAACAAACACACCCTCTTTCTCCATTTCACTCTCTCTTATATTAATGTCTCTGTTCTTGGTCGTCGCCCAGGCTTTTCTGACTGCTGTGACGGCTGAGTGAGTACGTGGAGGGGCCTGGCTGAGATTATCGATTTTCCTCCAGCAGATTTGACAGTAAATCAACTTATCCCTTAAGGTACTCGGAGAATGGATGGAAGACGGTCGTCTTTCTGCTCTTCCCTCCTCGTTGCCATTATTTCTTTTTCTGTTTCATACATAGATACATCCTGACTACTCTTCCTTCACATCTATTTTTCCCCACGTCTTTAATAACACATCTCTCTTTCATAAACAAATGCTCTCCTACTTCACCACCGATTTTTGAAAGTGGACATTTTAACAATTCCACCTCAATGCTGCAGTCACCACTGTTAATGTATTTTACTCAAATAAAGCAACAGTTTGAGACACACATTTAAAAATATATTATAATAATAATAATAATAATAATAATAATTTTGTACAATGCAATAAGTGCTGTCCACAGTCTCTGTAATCTGTGTAATTGAATCTATCGAATGTATATAAATAACTGAAGGCTTTAGTCTAAATTACTCTGTAATTAAGATTAGGATTCAATTAAATGATACGATAATAATCTGATAAATAGAATAAATTGCACATTTTTTTTTAAATCAGCAGTAATGGCAAAATTGTGTCTTCACTCTGTAATAATAGCAAAAAATAACAATAATTCATAATATAATTGTCAACGTTATGAGTGGTCTTTAACATGTATTCTCCCGTTCTCTAATGAAAGGGACATCAAGGATGATCTTAGTATGAATTAGGTGTGAATCTGTGGCCTTGTAAGGCAACCTTTTCCATGGTGTAGCCCTGCCTTTTGACCAACAAAGGCTGGCATGGTTCCAAGACCCATCCAGCCATCAAAGGCTCCAGTGATGAGGAACGTTCAAAGTACCACAAGGTCTACGATCTGGAGGCTGTTCAAAAATCATGTGCAGAACTGGATGTGGTCAGTGATTTGCATGGGTCAGAGACCGGTTCAACAAAATACTGTAAATACTGTGTCATACAGTATCCTTTGGTGGAAACATGAAATGAGACTTTAAAGTAAATGTGATAGAATGTTCTGAACATGTTTGTTTCAAGTGGTGCTTTGGCCCAGAGGCAGTGTCTCTGCCATTGGGCAAGATCCAATCCCTGTTAGGGTGGTTGGTACCTTCACCACCCACAGGAAGGTTCAGGGGGGTTGGTACGGTGCAGTGTGATTTGGGTGGTGGTCATGGAGACTGCTGCCCCCACGACCTGGTAACGGATAAGTGGATGAAAATGGATGGATGGATGTTTGTTTTTTTCATCCCTGTAAAACGATAATCACTTCAACTGCTTTAATTTGATACAGTGTTTTATTTTTGTTTTTTTTTTTAAACATGGCCTTCTTGTTTATTTTTGGCATTGAAGCAGCAGAGTGTAGGACCTAAAATAGGAGCTGGGAGCTGGCGGAGGTGGGGGGTGTGGTGTGGTGTGGTGTGGTGTGGTGTGGGGGGGGGTGACAAGCTGACAAGTCACTTTCAGAGCCATGCCACTGCAAAAACAATTATAGAAAAAGGGCCTTTAAACATGCAAAAGAGAGCTTTATCAGCACGCTGCAGGAGCAGACTGCAGACATGAGAATAAGGTGTCTGACTGATAACACACCAGGGTCAACACACACACACACACACACACACACTGCACCTACAGCGTACACATCAAATAATAAATTTAATAAAATCATTTTTTGAAATATCTCCTTATTAAATTAGCCAATCAGGTGTCAGGAGTATTTCCTGTGGTGGGTACCACCGTGTTAGCTTAGCTGAGGACATGACAGTCATGTGGCTCTAATGTGATCTAAGGTGTGATAATCATGTGAACCCGTCACTGTCAGCTTCCAGTGACTCCACAGTTCAGCCACGACCCTGGAACAGACTCAGGACAGGTGGGCAAAAGACCAACAAATACCAGGAGAAAATCTCACCTTGGCCGTTCTTACTATGGTGTCGTTGTGAACAGAACTGTATCGATCAATTTACCATGTACAATGCACACAGTGACTGTATGGAGAGGGGATTTTACCAGGAGAAAACACGCTGTCAGCGGCCTAATGATGGAAATCCATCAGTGCATTATCTCCTCAACCAGACGTTGACACACACACGCACGTGTGCACACACGCACACACTTAGTGCAGGTACACATGATGGCCCAGAGTTTAAATAAAATGTAATGAAGTCTAATTTAATCATCAGTCATTGATTGTTACCACCCTCTAAGAACATACAGGTTTTTATTAACCAGTTAATTTTCAATGTCACAGTACCTTTTCTGTATTATTATTATTATTATTATTATTATTATTATTATCTTAAAAAACTGACATTTAACCTCAGATAAAGAAGTTTTTCAAATTTTTAAAATGGAGAAGGGCTTAAAGTGTCCTGAGAGTGATGAAATGTGACTCCTCATGGCTCCTAATGATGATAAAAGTATATCAGGTAAGAGAACTGTACGAAAATGTCATTTTAGTAATTACCTCAAATGTTCATTTGGGTCTGGCTCCAGTTTTCAATCCAAATTAATTACCTCACAGCCTCAGTAAGGTGGAGTCATTCCAGAGCGGCCTGTGTTTTCACCACGTGAAAAGTCATTCATTAGTAACCTACCTTTTTCTACTCATGTTTTTTTTTCTATTGTCCTATTTTCTACCTTTTCCAGAGTTGTTCTCTCCCACAGGGATTTCACCCTTTCACCTTTTTGACCTCAGAGATAATAATCCTGCATTCCAGTTTTCTTTCTAGTTAGCATTAGCATCTGGTTTCAGTCATTTCAACACTGGTTTCTGTCTCAAAGAAAACAAGTTTTAAAAGGATTTTATAGATTTTAATGCATTAGCACTTCTAAATTTTAAAAATAAAAACCTTCTTCTTACTGTGTTCCTAAATACTGCAGTAATCTCTGCAACAAATGCGACTGTGTGCTCTCTGGGAGCAATGACCTTGAGAATATCTGGTACATCTGCATTTAGCATTCACAGTAGGTGTTGTAGTAATATGAATCACGTGGCCCTGTCTCGAGGACGTTTGCCGGATAAGAGGTCTTGCAGTACACACGTTTGTCCACACAGTGGCATTCTTTCCTTTGGAGAACATAGCGGTCTCGTTTTACGTCTGTTCCCTGACCCCCTCCCCTCTCTCTCACTGTCTCTCCCTCGCCCCCCCCCTCTGTCTGTCCGTGTGTGTTTGTCTGAATAGCATTAATATTTTCGCTCTGATACAGAAAATGAATAGATTCTGTTGTCAGAGTTTGCTCTTACATCATTTGAAGCAAAAGGACCCCAGACGGAGGTGTGTGTGTGTGTGTGTGTGTGTGTGTGTGTGTTGGGGTGGACTAAATGTCAAAAATCAATCAAATAACAGTAAAAGCTATTGTTATTTTTAATACCATGAAAAAAATTGAATTTTATTAACTGACTGATTTATCAGTCTTTTAGAATAAAATAATTTATTTAATAATAGAAATTAAATAGGCATCAAGCAGTACATACTGTGAATGAGTGAATATCTCATTTACATACTGCAGTGTTTTATACCATGTACTTCTCTGGCCTGTACTTTGTTCCCTGAGTATATCATGAAAACAAAAATATTTAAAGTTTTTTCATTTTCTAAAATCCAGTTTGTTGGTTAAGATGATGTAGTAAGTAAATGATGGGAGGGTGAGGGGAGTCAGAGGGGGAGTCAGAGGGGGAGGCAGAGGGGGAGTCAGAGGG